GAAGATCACTACGAGAATCTTGGACTATACACCTTATCCTATCATTGACTGCGAGTCGATCTCACCGTGACCTACCGCATATTAGCTCTCCGTGACTTATCCATGTAGAGACCGCTGTTTCACTTGCGAACGCAGTGCACCACATGCGGACACCGGTACAAGCTTGTGGTGCTGGATAAAAGGCTAGTTCTTCACGCCCTGTGCTTCGAACGGAGAGTGGTAAATTGGAACAGTCTGCCAGGACAAGCCGTCTGGGCCAAATCTGCAGCAATTCAAAACGCTGTTGGATGTACCCTTCAACTCCATTCCATTCAGGGAACGATTGCATGCTGGCAATGAATTCTTACATTAATGAGCCCATTGATACTGTAAGTCAGACATTTTTAAACGCTTCATAAGAAATTGTAGAACGCTTAGAGTATCAACAGGTGACTGATACCTTTTATGACATCTTCGGTTATAATTCGATGGAGTTGTACAGATTTAAATATTGACTTGTTCCCACAATGGAATATTCAGTTAGGGTAAGCAATCTGAAACGATTAATCGTGGGATTATTTGTTGAAACCTGTCACGAGTGCAACCGCAGTACTTTGAAGTGCCACGCTGAACTCCTGCATAATCGAACGGTAGGCCATGAACTCTGATCTATGGATGCAGTTAAAGAGGAATATGCTTATCCCACCCAAGATTCCATAGATCTGAAGCTTGTAACGAAGAATCCGATTATTTGGAAAGTGGATTTCCTTCGGGAATTTTAGCCGGCGTAATCTCGTACATTGATATCCACGGACTTACTCCAGTTTGCTTGCTTCACCAGCAGCCTCACTGTTCATGACCAGTACTGATTCACTCCGTACTACTTCGGCCTAGTGTTTGCATCTTTGCGAATAATCTCTGAATGCTTCCCCGATTGTGGCAGTGAAGATTGGGCACTTCCATCGGAAAATCCAGCTCGCTTTCAGATCTTTGATTATCGTTACCTACGGAGCACCGCTGGTGTCGTATGGCTCCAGCGTATCCGTATCGATGACATGCGTAGGCGAGTTACAAGGCGGTGCTAATCAGGCTACTTCGTTAGACCTAGAGATTGCACCGAAGAAGTTGCGTGTGTTTGAGCATATGCTATGCATGCCTGGTCACCGTTTACTGAGGAAACCGTTGTGTGTTTGCCGGATGCAGGGTGGCGCAAGGTTCGAGGTGGGCACAATTGACAGCGGAAAATGACGTCACTGACGACCAAACTTAGTGCTGTTGGTCCGGCTCACCTTCCATGATGCATCCGCGCAAACTGACTTGTACTTGGCTCGAGACGTTACAGGCCATATCTCGCAGTCGACATCCTTGACACGTTTGCTATCGATTTCCAGTCGGGTTGCGTGTTTCAAGTGTGCCGGGTGCTGTGCAATGGCTGATTATGACTCGAAGCAATAAAAGCCGCAGTGAAACTCTCTCTCTCTCTGATACCGCCTCATCTTTGAACCATAACCAGTCGTTTGTAACGGTGCGTTATTTACAGAGTGTAGGTGCCTTGACTCTGAATGCTTGCTTAGGGCATTAATACGATACGCCAAGTCCCTCGTCTCTCCCTCTGGTTATTCTTCATTTGTGAAATAATACTGGTCGTATGGCACGAAGCATCCGTTCGAAGTACAGATTTACTGATTTCGTTGATCTTACTGACAACCCCCTACCTTTGAAAAGCACCGAATTGTTGGGAGGTAATATAATCGGCACGACTGCTCTCCATGTAAACACGAGGGATGACTCCACGCTTTCACATAATGGGAACCTGCATCGCATTGATTCTTCGTTGAAACATGTAGGATAACGGTTCATGCACCTAGTTGAATAAACGAAACCATCGTTTTTCAGGCAGGTTTCCCCATTTCTAACCCACGGACGATTACCTGTCATATTGCAATTGTTACTGGGAACAGAGATACACAAGTAATCCGTTTATCAGGTTCAACACACTGACGAAGTCGCCATTCTGGGGGTTCTATTCACCGCGTCTATACGCTTTTTAGAACACATGGGCAGCATCACAAAGTCTAAATGTTGCGTGCTTACTTTCCTCTATTTGAGAGTCTTTGGCTCACTTGCAGTATTGTTTCTCGCTATGTTTATCACTGATATTATCAGCGAAATTCCTTTACACTCGTGAACTTTTTTCTTTTCTGCTCGCGTACCTCCGCAAGGCCACCGCGAACGCTCTCGTAAGTTCACTAACGAAGTGATGCCTTCGCAATGCCCTAATCTTCCTTCCTTGCTTGCACGTTTTGATCGTAACGATCGCATTCAACTCCGTTCTGAGACAACGATATGGGGTGTGTTCACGGAAGAAATGCATAGCGGTTGACTTCTGCATCAAACAACAGCGTTTTGTCCTTTGTTTCTGCAACACATATCCACCTTTTCTGCAGCTGAAGTACGACTTATGTCATTCTCCCCAGCGCGCATCCTTTGACTGGCTGTCATCATCCACCGTGCCGTAAGCCACGGGCCACTGATTACTCGGCTTTGTTTTCTTATCTCGATGTTCTTTTGTATGTACGATGAATCTCCGATATAAAATTTAATGCTCAGACGCTCACAGAGTACTGGCACCCCTCCTAGTTCTGCACGTTTTATCTGGCGTCGCTTGGTTTTGTTTCAGAACTGCCTGCATCAGGAACCTGGTGACTTCGTTCGATGTTCCCTTGTTTATTGGTTTTTGGATTCCAGCCACATCCCATATCCTGTCAAGTTGGCATCACAAGTGGCAGTCTGATTGACTACTCTGACTGAGTGGTTGTCCTGTTTGGCTGCTAGTCCCAGCTGATGTGTACCCCAAATAAGTAATGCTAGATTTCATCATTTGATATCTAGCTTTTGCATAATATCCGCTAATCGGCAACATATGTGCGTTTTATGCCATTCTTGCTCTTAGTTGGATGAGATCGTTGTGTCACAAATCAGTGACGAAGTAGTAGAGCACGAGCAATCTCATCGTTCGAGCGAATCCAAACATCTCCCACATCTCTGAGGTCACTATGACCATAAGTTTACCTTCATTTTACTCGACTTGCTTATCCAAACTCTTGCTAACCCCACAATTCCAGAGAAAACTTGGACCTGTAGCATTGTATGTCCGTTAGGAGGGTGAATCGGAGAACTTTCCTTACATTAGTTACTACTGTGTTGGCTGTTCGTGTGCACGGGCATTTGGAATGCAGCTTCCGTTACCGCGAAGCCAAACGTGTCCTAAACTTTTTAAAATTCTCTTTCGGACTGCAAGAAACCGCTAAGTTCAGAAGTTCAAAGGAACCAGACCATTGTGATTTCTGTGTGGAATTTATTATACCAGATTTCCGAGCTGTTGACTGAGTTACCTGCCCACCTTTAAATGTTATCGAGTGGTGCTCGCGTAATCAAAACTTTAGATATGCTTCAGAGGACGGATCTGGCTGGACAGATGACTGGGCATATCTGCTGATGAACATGATTGTGACTGGTTAAATTTACACACTGTTTTCGCTCGCAACTACCCAAGCACTGGTTTTGTTTTACATTTATTGTATGTTTTCGTCTAGCCACCATCAGATACTCGTTCGCACACTCATCGTAGAATATGTTACATATACCCGACAACTTACGTTGCATATCTGTTGATGCTTCACAAATATTTGCTTATGTTCATCAGTTTCTCTTCCTGTCTGATATATATTCCATCGAATGATACTCGGTCCTTTTACCCGCATACATGCACTATTTTATATTCCCCGATAAATCGAGATCCAAGTTTGACACTGTGCACATCATTTTGTCCAATAATGACTTCGAATAAACAACTTAAACGATCGGAAGAGTTGAAATGCGTAGCATGCTTCCGTCTCAGTTGATGAAACGCACATAATTTCAGGTAACTTCCAAAGTTTTCTGTCACCTTCCATGCGTTTCGTAGCTGGCACTGCCTTCTATACTACCGGCGACGTGTACTAGCTTTCCATCCCCATCTCTCTACTCAATAACCAAGATGTTAATCTATTTTCTTTCGTAAGTAATTTGGATTTGTCGTTATAGTAAACTCATACAGAAACTACTCTAGCTTTCGCACCACAGAGCCAGACCTGAGCTATGTTGAAAATACTTAATATGCTTTACTACAGTCATATTCAAGTTGACAACTACCGTGGCTCTGTGGAACCGCCGAACAGCCATTTCATCTCTTTGCACTCCATTGACAGTATGTAACTCCTTCGATTGACCTCATGCACATGGGACCTGCAACCAATAGAGTCAGTTTTGCCTTCTGGAAGGCGGCAACGCACGTGTTAACGGATGAGAGGCCAGTTTCTCCCACAATACAGTATTTAGCTAGATTAATGGCTGCAGCTTCTCATGTCCTTTTCAGGGCATCCATTTTGCTTCACTTTTAAGACCGCAATTCCTATCCTTTAGTACGTCGATTTGGTATGCATCATGTATCTGTCTCCAAAGAACGAGCTTACCGTCGGATACTGTCCAGCTTGTTACTAGTTAGCCCAAAGATAGACCTTAATTCGCGTACCACCCCTTTGGAGTAAAGTACAAACCAGCCCAGCTGGGTATATTGCGATTTTTCTGCACACCCTAATTATGCTTTTCCATTGAGTTGTACAGTGCGGACTTTATATATATATATATATATATATATATATGGGTGAACACTTGTTGAAGCAGTTGATGAACCCGATGGTTACCTATGATTGATAGTTAATATTGGAATTCAACTTAGGCGGCAGCTGTTTTTTAGATACTATCTCGAACAACTCCGTCATCTTTTGGTTCAATTTAATCCATTGTTTCATATATCCTCTTGACCCTGCTCTAAGCGTACGTCGCGGATTTATGCACCTGATATATTTATGTCCTGTCATATTTTTGTAAGCCAGTTTCGATTCTTAGAGCTTTCGTTTCGCTATCTACCTCCGTGGTCTTAATTTCATGAACCAGTAGTTCTGTTTCTTCTGTTTCAGCAATTTTCTGAAAAATCACCGCGTCCGTGTCTTCCATGGTCCTAGGACGAACCTCCCCAACTTAGAAGTTCTTCGTGCATCCGAGTTAGTAGCCGAAACTGCGGCGTCGTTATCACATGAGGATATGCTTTTAGTGTGCATCTCCGGTGGTGGCTCTGCCATGCTCACTTTACCAAAGCGGACACCAGGTACCGGAGATCGCCTGCCTCTAGATGACGTACTGTGCACAGTCAAACTAGTTTCTGCAGCTGGGGCCGACATATGTGAGGTAAGTGAACTGTATTGTTAAGAAAGTGTCGTAGCTGAATTCGGTCAGAAGTTTCCTGGATGAGCTGAAAGCTGGTGGTCTCTCTACTTTGGCTTACCCAGCACAAGTGAGTTAATCGTGGGTTCTCCCTTGAGCCACGCTGTCTCCACGTTCAATCTCTCGTGGATATCTTTCTCGTGAGAATTATTTTTATCTGTTTGCAATTATTATTGTGCCACTCACTCATGCGGCATCTTTCCTGAGTTCATCTCCCTTTTGCTTCATAAATTGCTATGAAAAAAACGATGGTACTAGCGGTATCGTTCATGATGTGTGTCTTAGCGTTCTGTGTGTGTCTGTTAGCCCTTGTTCTCTTTCTTACCCCATCTCCGAAGGTCATCAGTCTAATTGTTTCTGATGTTATCGGCGACCCGATTCGATTCATCGCCAGTGGACCAACGTACCTCGATGCAGACTGTTCGGAAAGCGCTCAACTACAACAATGTATGGCGGTACTCAACCGTTATCATTTGCTCGATAAGGTAAGGAGCTTATAAAACAAATGACACTTTTCTTGACTGGTATTTCTGATGATGCCGGCCCATAGGCTTAAGGAACACAAGCCTGCCTTGTAATCCCAGGGCGCGGGCTCGGGTCAGCATACGGACCGGGCGACCCTCGCAGTATCCTTAGTCCAGGTGCGACTGGTGGCGATTGCGCAGCAGCGAAGTGTCGGTACACAGTACCGAAGTACTGCTGATATCATTTTTAAGACGATGCTCATAGTCGTAACCAAACCTCTGCAAACAAAACCTGTAGCTCGGAGAATAATCGAATTTACAATCTTTCGTGGTATAATTATGCAACTCGCCGAGTGATCTGGTACCAACTGCCACATCGATTTTTCAACTAGCACTTTTTCAGGTCACTCCCAGTGGATTTTGTAGTTGCAAAGCCTTTCGTGAAGATGAGGTACAGAATGTGTTCACCTTCCACTGAAGACGAAATATATTGAATCCAGTCAGATACATGGGTTGTTCATGCAGTGTTGGCTTTTAGGGGGGTGTATGAGGAACACCAGGATATTTCAGACAAACTGAAAATGTTCTTTTATAATTCACAAATGAGAAACAGGACAGACAACTGAAATCTCATTACAAAGCATGTTACACATTCGTGATCAAAATAACCTTCAAATTCTATGCGTACATAGCTGCGCTGTAGTATGTCGTGATCTCTATAATTTTTCACAGGCAACTTCACGCATATTGTTAGATTGCTAAAAATCAAAATTACCTGTTGTTCATTCAAGTTCACGCAGGCATCAATTCATTCTCTCTGAGGAGTTACATGCGCGCACTATCAGTGACACTCTCATTGATCATGGCACATAAGCCAATGGGACTCCCTGGATGTAAGCACAGGGCAAGATGTATGCGTCATATTAGTCACCCGAGTGAGTGTACCTATATTTCTCGATGTTCATCCGTCGTACTAACTTAAGTGCGCTAAGGAAAGGCATCTATTATTTAGGTAAGAGGCGAGGCGAAAGGGGAAAGATGCCTGCTAGAATTTGCATTAGAAATGGTCAATCCTCTAGGTTGACTTAGAAGTAGGTAAGTTCAGCTGTGGTGGTACGACAGTGCTTTTATACATGTTTCGTTGAAAAATAAATCCACGTACAGAAACAGTTGATTTGTAGCGCAGAATAGCTGCAACCGAGATGTATGAAGACAGATTGTTAGTGAATTGTAAGGGGCTACAGTAGCATGAGACCTGCAGGCTGCATGGGCAAATCATACTTTCAGCTAACCGCAGTTGCACTTTCTGCCGAGGCTTTTGATACCCATTATTTGTCTACCCTCATGCGATTACCTACGCAATGCTCAATGTTTTCATTTCAACTCACACCAAGGATATAGTGATTCATCGTTTTCCTAGCCATGTCTAACTCGTTCCATTCCAACCTCCGCTGTTAGATATTTTCGTGCCGATACTGTGTAATAAGCTTGGGTCTCCCACCACATACCAACTTGAGAGATTTTCCAGTCTCAGGGGTCATCCCCCGTTTTATTCTCTTCATTCCCCATGAGCCTGGAAACACGCTATACCCACCATCTTATGCGGTGTAAAGCGAAGCAGTCGCTTAGGGTTGTTGGACCCAGAGCTGCTTTGCCTTCTTCCGGCGCATTGCAAAGACCTGGTTGCACTAAGACTGACCTATGTACATATTGCACTTGAGTTGTATTTTGTTTATTTGTACCCTAGATAAGCGTCTCTGCTTCATTTTTTGGTTGGACCCTGGAGTTTTTACGTGTTACTCGAGCCCAAAGCGAGTCTGTCGTTTACATAAATAGCTTGTCGCCACAGTAGAGTATGCAGCCACACCTGCCAATGGTTGAGTAATTGGATGTTATGCAAGCTACTTCTTGTAAATTGGCTAAAACAGTTTGAGCACTTTTTCAAAAGCCGAATGTAAGACAGGACGCAGCGGGATTTACTAGATGTATTGTTCCTGTGATCGCGTCAAAGCGGTTATCAGAGAATGTGTGATATTACCGCCTTCTAACGCATATAGCAGACGGCATCTGCAGACACACACTAACGATAAGACATCACTGTTTTACTGTACCTCTTATTTGTGCATCATTCCACCTGGTAACCATATTGATGGCATTTGCTTCCCTATTCCTATGTCTGTCTCTATCTATTGTTGATGCCCACACTTCTGACTATAATTTTATGACTGCCATTTAGGGTCACGTTTAAACGTTAACTAACCACCGACAGTCGTACTGCTTGCTCATACTTGTACGTGCGGTCTTCCAACACTAGAGGATTATGGCTGTTATTCTTACATTCAACCATACTCATGCACGTTCGTAGTGCTATTGCTTAGGAGGGTTATTGTTTCTCCATCCAATTTATGATAGTGCATGCACAGATGTGAACAAATGCCCACTCGCAACACTGCAGTACTGCAACTCGTTCTGCACACCCGTTAATTCTTGCTCACCTTGTACAAGAGACGATCACAACCGGCTCTGCTTTACCTTCCGACACGGATAGCCTGCAGTTAATAATCTAGGAGACGGCATTCACAGCACACCCCAACGATAAGTCATCACTGTTCCACTGTGCTTCTACTTCTTCGTTCGAGTGAGCATAGCAATAATTCCCTTTTTTCACCGCGAACTTTAACTAAACTGAGCTTATAAAATCAGCGGACTTAATCGCACCATTTCTCTGCTATCTTGTAAAGTTGCTTACTCCATCTCCGTCACCTTTGTGTCATCCTTATTCTATCGCGCAAGTAAGTCGTGTTTGGTTACAGTTTCACTCCAGAATGATTACCCACTGACTTGGTGCAATGTAGTATATTTATTGCACCTGCCTAGAACGGATGAGTCACATCTAACATACCTTTATAGGGCTTACCTAACTCGGTTGTATTTCGCGGTTATTTCACGTGTTGCCCACTACACTGTTGTACTCATCATAATCTATGATACCCTTGCTACCTTTTCAAGTGGAGTCTAGTACGGTGACATACCGAGACGGCGAGCTACAGCATCTTTCTCTTCGTAGTATTATTCGGTCGCGATTCACATCACTATGTTAGCCCTGTGGTATTACTCACCAGACTATGCTATGTACATTCTTCTCCTTGAAATTGATTCGTAGATTACATCACCCCAGCTTGATCGGCTGCTCAATGCTAACTAGAATGATGCTTGAAAAGCCGATGTATCGCCAGATAAATAAATAAATGGTATATTCTCAGTAAAATGAGACACATTTGTAAAGGCGCGATCAAATATGCATACAAGCATAGCTTCTTTGGAATATTAAAACATTTCGTTTTAATGAAAGGTATAAACGAAAAGATGTAGTCCATACGAGCGAGCATTTTGTCAGGTAATAGTCAGATCAAGGAACATGATGGTGCTGGGGCGCATAAAAATCAGTCATAACTGTTGCGTCTACAAGTTGGGCGTAATTTCGCCATGTACTAATCCATGAGCGCAGGAGCCCAAACAAGGTTTTGGTGCAATCAATGACCATTACGAAATCAGAATGGTCTGTGCTCCTTCACATCATTTTTCATAGTAAAACCAGTTGCACAGGTTGTATGTAGAAGGCTGAGGACTGCGTCGGTGTAAAATATGTTGCTGTGACTTTATTTAGTGGCGGGTCACATCCGCCACGTTGCAGTGTTGTTAAGCGGACATTTATGCCTTTATATAGGGAGAAAGCTTGCCAGGCAAAAACCCACCACGTCCTGGAACACTGCCGTAGCTTCCGTTGAACAGTAGTGCTAGCCGGCTATGCATCGTATGGACCGATTTTGCACTCTATTATTCGCAGTCGGTTGACAGCCAAAATTACTTCCTTGGTTGGCCGAATGGCTTCATAATGATCCGACAGTATTCGTTGAAGCCGTTCAGTGATGCAAGAGAGTCGCAGAGTCGAATAATAAATGATGCAGGTGAGTAAACACATTGTCAATAGAGGCCGGCTTTTTCTGTTAGATTCTTCTCCGGCTCGCAAACCGTATCCAACTATCCACGTTGGACTTGTCATCGGGATGGTGAGTGCAGTTGTTCATTGTGGCTGAATTTGTCCATAACAGGCGAAAATGCCATTCTCCGCAAAGTGGATTCGGAATTCCTTCAAATGTAAGTAAGCGTAATTGTATCCATGGTCAAGTTAAAACTCCAAGAAAGGTTATTGGAAAAGCCACTTATACGAGCGCAACGCTATCCGTGAAATGACATCAGAAAAGCTCCGAAAGACTGGAGAATCGGAATGTTTGAAGCAGTGAAGGTAATCACGCCAGAATTGTTTGTCTTCCGTTGTGAAGCAGTGGATGCATGTAAATATATTACTCCAGGTGAGTAGATTGTTATACTGTGAGTACGAGGCGAGCTAAACCCATTTGTTTAGACCCCGTGAAGGTAGCGTTTCCAGAATGGCGGAAAGAGCTCCATTTGGAACGATGTGTGGGTTCTTCATCTCCCGGAGAAAGGATCAAGTGTTTAAACCAGCTGGCTATTGAGGATGGGTCAGCCAGTCCCAGTGGATAAACCTTCTTGTTTTGGCGAATGTAACTGTGGAAATCTCTGGAAAAAGCGGGCAACGGACAAGAGGCAGCCAAACAGACAGACAGCAATGAATCAAGAAGCATTATCGAAAGACTGGTGGCGCGCAACGCTGCCTAGGATACACTGAAACTTATGTAATTTTGTTTAGTATACCTGATTTGCAAGCGCGTTCTTTCCATCACGTCGCTAGTGTGGCTTGGACTACAACTACTACGTAGGAAGAAGGTTCTGCACGCGCAGGGTCAAGAGACCGATATAACAAAGCGTGTTTACAAAATTTGAGCGGATAATATGATTGTTGGAGCGAAACAGGTAAACCGATGATGTTGACAGCAGTCCGAATGCACTTGTATGTGCTGACCAGCGGATGCGTTTTGGCGGACGCCCACGACGATGTTGTGAGCGCATTGACATCAGCCAACTGGCGAAGCCAGCTG